GGCAGAGATGGGGCAGAGATGGGGAGGCAGAGATGGGGGCAGAGATGGGGCAGAGATGGGGAGGCAGAGATGGGGGCAGAGATGGGGGCAGAGATGGGGAGGCAGAGATGGGAGGCTGGGAGCCCCAGAAGCCGCAGGAAGCAGGACAGTCTTGCCCGCAGACCTTTGGCAGGAGGTATGGCTCTGCCCACACCTTGACTTGGGACCCCTGGCCCAGAATGGAGAGGATTTAGGCTGCCAGTGTGTGGCCCTTTGTTCCAGCAGCCCCTGGAGACAAGCACAGTATCCCACAAATGCAGACAAGTCTGGCCTCCGCCCTATACCTGTGTAGGTCCCTGTGGATGCGTGAATGCATTCCTGCCAACTGTGAGTTGCGTTTAGTAGCTGGAGGGCAGTCGGAGGCCGTCCAGGTCATTGGTGGGCCAGAACCCGGGGTGCAGGAGCATCCCCACGAAGGGCGCACTAGCCCAGCTGCCACAGCTGGGGGAGGGGCCCCGTGACCCCCAGACCAGGGTGCGATCCTTATGATGCTAAGACCCTCTGCCGCTCCTTCAGGTGACTTTGTAAGCGCGGACCGCACTGATTCAGTCAAGCAGCACACCAAGGAACTCAAAGCAATTTCATCTGTGGACGGCCAGTAATAGTCCGTGAACGGACCAGACCCCAAGCCCAGTCCCGGCCACTGACTGGTCCAGAAGCAGGGCACCAGGCCAGCCTGTAACGTGGGGGCAGGGCCCCCATAGGCTGTGGCTCTGCCCGGCCAGTCCTGGGGGTTCCCCGGCACCCTGCCCATCACCCCACCCCTCGCCTCTCCCTCCCAAAGAACATGATCCTTCAACATTTTTGCTCCTGAAGCCTGATGCTCACCTCCCTTGGCAAACTGCACTGTGTGCGCAGGGGGGCCGAGTTTGCAAAAGGGACTGAACGGGCACCATTAGCTAACATGATGATCACGGGAATGTGGTGTTTTTCGCTGCTCCACTTGCACGGTGAGTACTAACAGCCAGGAGGAGGTGGCGCTGAGGGCAGAGCGGGAAGCAGAGTTGCAACCAGCTCCAACCTGAACAGACAGCCCTGAGTCTCGGCAAGCAGACCTCTGGACAGAGGCCCATCTTCCACCAGTTTGGAGCAGTTGAAACCAGAGGGGCTGAGAGGAGGCATGTGGGACCCAGGACCTTTGTGGGGATGGGCTGGGGCTGAGCCACCAAGGGCTGCCTGTCCCTGGCTCCCAAAGTTCCCCCCCACCCCCGCACGGGCTAGTGGTCTGCTGGAGAGCCAGCCCCGACACCCCTTCTCTGTAGGCCCAGTACCCTGTCCTGGTGCAGCCCCGGCACCCCCTCTCTGCAGCCCCGGCACCCCCTCTCTGCAGCCCCGCATCCCCTCTCTGGTTCAGTTTGCTCAGCCTTCGCAGGCTCTGTGACCTGGCTGGAACAGGAGGTGAAACCCGGAGCTGCACTCCTACCCGCTGAGTCCCACGGCCTCTGAGAGCCGGGCAGGGCCTGCAGGGGTTGTGCGTGTGTGGAGTGCGGAGGGGTCTCTGTAGCCGGGAGAGTAAGGACAGAGCCTGGAGTGGGTGCGAGCGTCGGGTCTGTGGTCAGGAGGAGAGGGCGGAAGCTGGGGTAGACCTTGAATAGGTCGGAGGGAACCTCAGCAATGAGGCTGGAGTGACCTAAAGGTCAGCCCCCACCCCCAGGCTGGGCTTCTCCACTGGAGGGGGCCCCTGGGGGATAGAGAGGGAGACCCCTGCACGCCAGGTCGCAGGTGCGGTACCTCCTGTCACCAGGCGGAGCCAGCCTGGCAGGGAAGGAGCGGCTGGTGTCACCCAGGAAAGAGAAGGAAACTGGACGAGGATTCCAGGGTTGCTGCCTTCACACAGGTAACCAGGGGAGGCCCACCTCGAACGGAGGAAGAACGAAGGCCTCAAGGCTGGGCTGGGGACGCAGCCGCTGCTCGTCCCGCGGAAGGCGGCTCGGTGGTGCCTGGTGCCCGGTGTCCGGTGCCCGGCACGTCCCGACCCCACCGAGGCGCGCGCCGCCAAACTCCGGGGCGTGGCCCATTCCCCGCGCTGACCTGAGCCCCCTCTGTGAGGTCCCAGCACCCCTCCCCCGCCCGCCCCGCC